ATTTCACCATGTGTTTATGAGTCTTTTCCAGTCTTCTGTCTGTCTTGCCCATTTGGAAAAGAAATAATAATAATAATGGATTGCATTTATATTGCGTTTTTTGGGACCCCTCAAAGCCCTTTACAATTCCACTATTCATTCACTCTCACATTCACACACTGGTGAAGGCAGCTACGGTTGTAGCCACAGCTGCCCTGGGGCAGGCTGACAGAGGCGAGGCTGCCATATCACGCCATCGGCCCCTCTGGCGATCACCAGTAGGCGAAGTGTCTTGCCCAAGGACACAACGACCGAGACTGTCCGAGTCAGAGCTCGAACCGGCAACCTTCCGATTACAAGACGAACACCCAACTCTTGAGCTACGATTGTCCCATCATATAAGCCTTAAAGTCTTTTTTCTTATAAATAGAAAAAAGACTTGCATATGATTTGGCTTACTTCATATAGTGAATCATGTAAGGCTTATATGATTTACTCATGAAAGTGGCCACTTTCTCATTACTTTCATATATTGTTTTAGTAAGTATCCAAAACATACAAGTTTCATTTATATCATTTTTCAAGGGATCTTATATCTGTTTTCACTCTTGTATGATTTTCATACAAGTTTCACGCAAGAAAGATACAAACTTTATAAGATTTATGTATATCTTTTCCATATGGGTGTCCTCTATGTTTAACGTGTAGTTATGCCCGTGCTTTTGTCTTCCTCATCTGTTCCCATATGTCTCTCTTTTTGTTCTGTTTCCCCAGTGAGTCATGTGTTTGTGTTTCCATGACTACTGTCAAGCTTGTGTTGTCATGTCTACATTCAATTATATTTCTGTTTTATTTTGAAAGTTCTAGGTTTTACTAGTTTGGGTTTTAGTTTCATTTTTTGCCTTTTGTATTCATGTTTTTCAGCAAAATAAACAACTCGCCTTTTGTTAAAGTTCATCCACTTGGGTCCACATCAAAAACACACACTGACACTTACTTATACAGACAGATTGATATGTATTAGTTTTTCTTAAAATGGAGCAGCTGCTCACCTATACCCTGTGTCGCCTTCTTGGTTTGGGTGAAGCCGTCAGGTCTAGTCCAGCTGTAACCTTGACAGCGGTCCAGCGGCCTCTTGTCGAGGTAAAAGTGGCAAAGCGGAGACTCCATACAACACCATTGAAAGGGCAGGAGATCGTCATCTGAAGAGAGAAGTTTAATAAAATAACATAGTCGTGTTATTTCATCAAGCGGCCGTGACAAGTTTGTACATTACACTAATATGTTAGTTAGTAGTTATACTAGTTTTGTGGCTGATTTGACAAAAGAAAATGCCTCTATTACCAATATGTTTCTGTATGCTGTATCCAGAGAAGTAGCGCTCACTGTATCCAGCTACCAGGGCACCATCAGGTTCATACACACACCTCTTCTCTGAGCCATATATATTGGACAGGACTGAGCGGAAGGACTGCCCCTGTGCACTCCCCCACCGCTGACCCCTCAGCTTCACCACAGTTGGACTAGGCACAGATGTATCCTGCATAAATGACAGATCCCCCAGAGCCTGGTTCCGTGTGCAGGGACAGGCAGGCAGCCCTTTTGTCCACTCATCAGGGTCAGGCTCCATCACTGCCCACTGCTGGCACCTGAAGCCGGGATCTACGTCTGACCCCGTCGGTCCTGTCAAATCATAGACCAGCTGGCCTAAGTTCCCCATGGTTCCTTTCACTTGCTGAGGCCTGTATCTTCCCCCAGGGCCAAAGAGGTTTTCAGGAGGGACTGGGATTTCCTTGATAGACAGCTTTCCATTTGTGTAGCCGATAAGAGCATCGTGGTATTTTCTCTGACCTGGGCCCCATTTCATCTCCCCGTATCGCAGGAGGGCAAAGGAACGCGCTCCGTCTGTGGTCAGGATACACTGGAAAGTGTTGCTCTAAAAATAACAAACATTAACTTTAACTAACTCAACATGTTGCAACAATAAGTAAATCTAATGAATTCAATCACTTATTCAAAGTGGCTAATAAATGTGTGCTTTTGTTTTGATGTACTTTGCTTCTAGTATTGTCAGTACAAAAGAGCAAAAAGAGCTTAGATACAGTGTAAAAGTGATGTAGGATGAAGACTGGTGGCAGCAGATATTACTGCACTCTGCATTCAAGTCCTTCAGGCCAACACAGCCCCAAGGTGGCACCAGAGCTAAATAAAACAGCATGTTCCAGGACTCAAGACTGAATGCCTTTCTCTCAGCTTACTGTTCAAAAGGCTCACGTTGCATAAAAGAATAACACGTAAATGAGGTCAATCTGACAAGTAACCAGTTACACTCCCTGCTCAATCAAACCTTTTACTGGAACTGGTACATAAGAGCTTTCAGGAACAGGTAGAGCCTGAGGTTCAGATTATAAACTGGTCATTAACCTTTCCAGTAAACATTATGAATGTGAACATATTTAGCCCAGTATTATAGTAAAAAAAAACACACACACACATACAAAAGCATGTTACTGCATTGTTGTGAGATGGAGTTTGGTAGTTTTGAAAATAGTATAATAAAGCAAAACTTTTACAAACATCATTAACATCAAAACCCACTTTTGCTCTTTTTATATTGCTTTCTTATGAAACTACTGATGCAATGTTTGTGTGACATGTCCATATGAAATAAGAATGCAAGTGTTGGCTGGCACTCACCTCTGAGAAGTTGACCTTCTGGAAGGAGACAGGCATCACATCGTCCCAGGTGATTTTGAGGATCCAGGCAGGGGTAAAAGCTGGCTTGTTTTTCAGGCGCTCAAATTTTGTTACTTCCTCAGCCGTACGATTAACCACTACCTGGGAGTAGACATCTGACACATTCCGTGTGTGGTATTCCTAACATTTAACAAGAAAGGGAGTATTAAAACAAAGCAAGTACACCATGGTGAGCTTGCTCTGTAAGCTGTATCTCTTTAAAAGAAAACTAGGTTGTTCTTTGTCTCGGCTTTACTTTATTGTTTCAACCAAACAAAATCATCCTAGCTCAACAATGACATCTGATGGCATTGAACCTGAGAGAGGAGCCGTCCATTCCCTTGAGTGAGGTCTGCATCATCCCAGAACACAGCTAACAAAGTCAAGTTCATGTGGTCAGGGAAACCACTGGCGAAAGGAGACGGGAGGAGATACTGCTCATTCTCAACAACAGATTGAAACTGGACAAGCCCATTATCAGAAAACTAAGAAAACAAAAGGACAGACAATATCAGACACACATTAAAATACCAATCTTCTCCTATGAAACTCGATATTTATGGCTAATTTGACTGTATATTAACATGCTCTCCTCACTATATTTACTTCATTATAAAGAGCTGAGTGCAAGAACTCCCACTGCTGTAAACCTTTAAGTAAAATCTACATTATTTGCATATTTTGAGGCTAATACCCTGCTGCAATTAGTACATTGCATGTACAGTATGCGTAATTCAACAAATGTATAAGTAAGAAAATGTCATCCTCATTTCTGAAATGTGTTGTTTCTATTATATTACTGCATTTGCATCACGATTGAAACATTTCTCAATAGTTGCTGCTACTTTGAAGGAACGTTCTACAACATTATAATAAATTGGGCACTTTCGTTCTAGTATTTATAGATAATTGTAGTAAGAACTCACATAAATTCTGTCGTACAATTTCCCCATGAAGGGGAAGCCCATTGGTGGTGTGATATATGGAGAATTTCCATCTCCTGTGTCTATGTTTACTTCATTATCCCCGACATCATCTCCATAGGGAAACAGATTTCCCTCTGTGGGGGGAATAACAGAAAATTAATAAGTTACATATTAATGTGAACATATTAAAGTCATCAACTAGGCAAATCAGTTTGCTGTAAACATGCACAATTATTGTTTTGATTGTTTATGTGTCATTAAAAGTAATCCAACTGAGCTTTACTGCTACCCTAACATGCTGTGAGCTAGACTATTGTCCTTTTTGCTAATACAACATGCTGAAAACTTTCTTAAAGCATGCTCAATCATCCAGAAAAGACAGAAAGGTACATAAAGTTGATTCTTTTAATCTGAAGGTAGTGTTTGCCACTGATCCAAGTCTGCACTGAGGACTGAAGAAGTCACTTGGATGAGTGACGAAGTGTTTCTCCCACTGAAAACACTACGTTCAGCTAGCAGCCTAATCCACATTGTGTTAGATAAACATATTTAACCACCTCAGTGGTAATATAAGAAAGCACTTTGAATCCACAACCATCGACTGAAAACGTGCAAATAAAGGTAAGGTTTTCTTATTTCTTTGTTTTTTTGTTTTGTTTTCTCATTTTGCAGGAATGTTAGCTTAATCAGTAAGGCAACGCAGGTATACTAAAAAACGCCTTATTAATTACACAATATATTTTAATGAAGTTACATGAATACCCCTCAAATTAATTTCAAGGCAAATTTAGCTTGCCAGAAGGTCTAATAGATGCTTGTAGCACAGTGAAAACCTTTTGTTTGGATAATGCATAATTTGACCAAAAGAAAGTTTTGAGAACGTAAAATAAGAAAATATTCACATTTCAAACACAAACATCAGTGTATAATTATTAAGGTGATTAACTAAGACATAGCCAACCCGTCATAGTTATCCTTCTGCATAATGTGCTGTTTCCCAGACAGGAGCAGGTATGAGACCCTGGTAGGTTAATACAGGACGATTCCCCACGACATGGATGGAGTGACGCACACTCGTTCAAGTCTGCACACCCTTCTTTTCCACGACCGTTGTCATTGGTGGGCTTCCAGCCCTGATTGCACGAGCATTTAAAACCTCCTACATTGTTGATACATGTGGCAGCAGAGTGACAATCCCCATTCATGGCATTGCATTCATTAATATCCACACACAATGGCCCCAAACTCATAAACCCTGGCATACATATACAAACAAATGAGCCTGGGGTGTTGTGACAGCGAGCAAGAGGGTGGCATGGTTTACTCAAGGCAGCGCATTCATCCACATCTCTGCACCAGGAGCCATTTCCATTGAAACCTGTTGGGCAGTGGCATGAAAAGGATCCGGGTGTGTTCAAGCAACGTGCAACTGGATGACAAGGTGAATCCTTGCATTCATCGGTGTCAACACATGCCAGCTTCTCTTCATGATATCCCAATGGGCAAGAGCAGCTGTACGATCCAGGCAGGTTTTTGCAAACTTGGTCAAAGCGGCAGGCGTTGGTGTCTTTGCATTCATTTATATCCTCACAGCCTGAGCTAATGGTTTTGTACCCCGGAGAGCACTGACAGAGGAAGGACCCCATGGTGTTGTTACAAAATGAGTGCTCTGGACACTGGCTGTTTTCTGGTTCCTGACACTCATCCACGTCCTGACACTCAGCACCATTCAGTTTGAACCCTTCATTACAGGGGCAGTCGTAAGACCCGTGGATGTTGACGCATGTGGAATGGGGCTGGCACACTGAAGAGTTGGAGCACTCATCCACATCTACACATTTCGTATTGTTACTCCAGAATCCTTCGACACATTCACAGAAATATGAGCCAATAGCATTGAAACACGTTCCATTGGTGCAAAGCTCCCCTAGTTCTTTGTTACTACATTCATCAATGTCCACGCACAAGTTATCGACGCTGGAAAATCCTCTGTCGCAAGGACACAGGTAACTACCATTGGTGTTGATACACCTGCTATGTTCCGGACAGGTAATGCTATCTAGGCATTCATTGATCTCCTCGCAGACAGTGCTATTTCCTTGGTAACCTTCCCAGCATTTACAAAAAGAAGATCCAATTGTGTTTAAGCAGTTGGAAAATTTAGGACACAGAGTAAGGCCAAGTGAGCACTCGTCTATGTCCACACATAGAGTGCCATTCCTTGTAAAACCAGGGGCACAGGTACATTTGTAGCTCCCTTCTAGATTAGTACAGGTACTGTTGTCAGGGCAACGGAAGTCTCCCATCGCACATTCATCTATATCCAGACAGTGCGTCCCGTTGTCTTGAAAACCACTCCAACATGTGCAGATGAAGGAACCATTTGTGTTGAAACAGTTGGAGAAGGCAGGACAGATTTGATGCTGTAGTTTGCCACATTCATCCACATCCCAGCAGTCAGTTCCTGTTCCTTCATAACCATCTGCACACTGACAGTAGAAGGAACCGTCATGTGGAAGGCACTTGGCGAGTGGGTGGCAGTTGGCACTAGCGTTCAGGCAGGTTGTTTCATTCACACATGTGCCCTTGTTGTACTCCCGTCCCAAGCTACATGAACAGGTGTACGATCCGGGAATGTTGCTACACGTCATGTTCTTGCTACAGGCTGTGACCAGCTGACATTCATCTACATCATCACACACAAAGCCATCACCCTGGTATCCATGCTTGCACTGGCAGCGGTAGGATCCGTTGGTGTTGAGGCATAAAGCTAAGGCGCTGCAGTTGTGTGGCAGGGTACTATTCTCCTGGCATTCGTTCACATCCTGACAGTCAAAGCCATTTCCCTCCATGCCAAGTGGGCAGACACAGGAGAATGATCCAGGTGTGTTAGTGCAGCTGGCAGCTGGGTGGCATCCTTCGTTTTGGCCTTGGCACTCATCGAAGTCTATAATTTATCCAAAATGGGACAGTGTCAGCGAAACAGCTCCGAATGGTGCTAAAAAAAAAAAGCTCAAGGAAAGTCCACTGATTGGTGCAAAAGAACCAATTTTTCCAATTGAAGGTTAAATGAGGATTTATTACTTACCAGAGCAGTTTTTTCCATCACCCGTAAAACCGCTGAGACAGAAACAGGAATGGCTGCCCACTGTGTTGACACACTTAGCAAATTCACTGCAATCCTGTTGACCTGTCTCACATTCGTTCACATCTACAAAGGTAACAGGAAATGAGGTGTAAGGTTAATATAGATTAAAAACAATTTATATGCAAACTTTAATCTAGAAGTGAGATAAAATACATATAAGTTTAACCTCCTAAGACCCAAACTCTTCCTTGGCATGCATTTTTAATTTCTCTTGCTATTTGGGCTGATTGGGACCTGATGAATGTAAAAACAAAGAATTATGTGATTTTTTTAACCTGATTTTTGTTTCTGAGAAAAATTAGATCCGCATATAAGGACGT